CATCTTACTTGTTGCTTGAGCATTACGAAGAATGTGGTAATTAGCTTTAGTTGCTTTCTCACATTCTTTCCTCTCAGTTTTGCTAAAATATTACAAATGCAAGTGATACTGCACTAATTGCGCTAAGGCAGAGAATGTATTTCTTTTTTCGGCCTTTTTACCATTCTCTTCTTTTCAAACTCTTACTTTTACTAACAGTTCTTCTGGCCGTGTAGCCTAACGGCCTTCTCGATAGGACAACTTCAATTTGAATACAATTTACAGCATGTACCTAGTACGAATAGTGGTATATTTCATTCGGGTTATAATATACTCAGTGTTGTTACAGCCACCTGGTTGAGCGGAAAAGGGTCGATATCTGACCGAAGTACACTTTTAATCTAACTGTTAACGTTTTATATCGTTCCAGACTGTGAGACTACTAGGCAAAGGTGGCTATGGTGCTGTATATGAAGTATTACGGAAAAGTGATAGCAAACTGTTTGCTGTGAAATGCGAAAAACTAAGCGCAAGAAAGAAGGTGTCCCTTTCAGATATGCACTGTCACAAAAAAAGATAAATTTTCAGGTGCTTCCAATGGATTGTCGTGTTTTACGTGGAGCGCAAATCATAAAAAGTTGTCATTTTTGTACAATAGAGGACCGAGGAAAAGTCGAAAACCGTTTTATATTTCTTGTTATGAAGCTCGTAAGCTTTATTTTTTGCGTACACTCGTGGGAAGGATGAGTGGATTATTACCATGTACGAGAGCTGAGATGATAATTCATTCTCGTAACAGTTTTTTACAAGGAAGGACGAAATATTATCATTAGTCATCTGATCTAATCGGAATGGCCTAAAAATTTATTTTTAGATCGGCAGCAACCTTTGGGATCTACGCGTAGAGAGAGAAACAATGCGATTTACGCTAAACACATCTCTAAAAGCGGCTGAGCAGTGCCTAATCTGTATAGAGGAGCTGCACAGGGTGATTGGATCGTGTCATTAAACATCTCTGATTTCATAGTGTTCTAAGATACGAGTTAACGATAGATATCGTCTTTCTAATGACACGAGACGATATCTAAATAAAATAAGGATACTTTGACATTCAGATGTCATCAATGACCTTTCGGGATATTCGAAGTCTATGAGCTGTCAAAAAAGAAGACAGTTTTTCTATATGAAAAAAAATTAGAAAATTGCTCTGATAATATACCAAGTCTTGCATCTTTACCTAAAACGTTTCAATGATATATGCTCATGAAGTTTGGAAACATAAAAAATGTTCAGCTAGGATTTCTCCATCGCGATATCAAGCCAGGCAATTTCGCCATTGGTCGACAAGACGCCAACGAACATCACATCATATATATGTTAGACTTCGGATTGTGCAGAAAATTTCAGGAGAAGGTAGGTCGTGAATCACAAAACACAAGAAAACACGTTGTTAGCTTCAAGCATTCCTATTTACATTACCAGTCGAGATGCGTTTTCCTTTTTTGAATAATCCTGGCTCTTCAAAAAGAAAAGCTTAAAAAGCATTCCATTAACTGGCAGATCATGGCACTTCAATTGTAAGTATTCCAGGACAAAGATGTTCGAGTCCCGCGAGAAGTAGCTCCGTTCCGAGGCACAACAAGATACGCACCGATAGCAGCAATGAAACAGGTGCACTGCTGTTTGCGTAGAAACTTCGATTGTTACTGCTATATCAACAAGAAATCGACCATCTAATTTCAGATTGAACAATCTCGAAAAGACGACTTGGAGGGATGGATGTATATGGTTGTTGAATGGACCTCAGGCGGTCTGCCTTGGAGAAAGTATAAGGTGAAGGCAAGAAAGAGAAAGTTTTCCACCAAAATCCAATCTTGAATATGACCAATAGATTTTAAACATGTTCTTCGGCTGCAGGCAGATAATCGAGAAGAAGTACTGAAAATGAAGGAGGAAGTGCGTGATAAGGAGGAGGCAATGACGGTTTTCTTTAGAAATTGTCCGGAAAGAGAATTCAAA